CTATATATGTCTTATGTTCAAGTACGGAGACGGAAGACGTGTTTCCATCGGCGAGTAGCTCGAGCATTTCGATGTATCGAGTTATCGCCCGGACTCGCCCGGTCTTTTGCCAGCTCGACCCGAACTCGGTTTTTCGGGTACTCGCACATCTCTACTAATAATTAATCTAGTGATAAATACCTGCATCACTTGCTTTCTTCGCTGTATTATGTCGTAATTATAGTAAAACAATGTGATGTCATCTACTGTTATTTCAAAGATTCAACAAAATATTTATCTTGCATGGTAGTCAAGGATTATTTAAACTTCCTGATCATCATAACTGAGCACATGTCACGGCCCCGATTTAAATAACGAAATATAAACAGAAGTGCAATTTTCGCTCGACACGATAGCTATCGAACGACTAAATTTTCAAAGTGTATTGTGTACTTCATTTTGGATGTTATCTTTCGAACATGAACCATAATTTCAAAACCGCTCATTCTCAATACAGCAGATGTTGTTTCATTATATCAACTGTATGATAAATCGATATCATCGTATTAATCTTTATTGCTTTGTGCATCACGACGCAGGAGTTTAATACGCACGATGTCAAACTTTGAACACGATTCACGAATTATGGGGAAATATAGCACACGTTTAACACATATTTTTCGTGTTTTTATAACTATCTGGATTTCGTCGAACGGAATTAAAGAATTTTATTACTGAATCCTACTACCTAGGAACTGTATATATTGGGCAGCTTACACTTCCGACATACATCTGCGCGTTTAGTAAAACGGAACACCTGGAAGAAATAACTCATCAAGTAATATTTTCTATCGATCCGAAAATTCGAAGTCGTCACTATGATTTATAAAGCATCCTTTACGTATTTGGCGTTGATCGGGCTATTGTATCCACTGATACTCTTGGTATCCGTTCAAGGTATTTCAAATGCAAGACTGTATGAAGCTTATAATGTAAAAGAATGAAATTTATTAATTTTAATGAATTGACACATCGTTTTGTTATAAAGGAAAAAAATATGAACTTTTGCGGGCCCCGCAGTGTGGATATAGCAATGTCAGGCATCCGAAAATAGTGAATGGTGTCCCATCGAAACTTAGTACGTGTTATTTCTATCTTACTACGGCTTCTGAATATTATTCATTAGTTATTTCATGTTTAAATACCATTATAAAAATATAATGTGCATTTAAGAAATCGATAATGTATTGTTTAGATGCATGGCCATGGATTGCTGTACTCGGTTACCAGAACAAAACTCACCCCTTACAATGGCTGTGCGGTGGCTCGCTAATAACATCCAGACACGTGCTGACCGCTGCTCATTGCATAATAGAGGGTTTCTTAAAATACGTTCGACTCGGCGAGTTAGACTTGTCTAGCACCAAAGACGGGGCGCATCCCGTTACAGTCACAGTGGATAAGAAGACAGTGCATCCGAATTACGTTGAGGGCCAGCATGTGAACGATGTTGCCGTTCTCAAGCTATCGAAGGACATAACGTTTACAGGTAAGTCCCAAAAATATTAAAAATAATATAAAATAAAGGAGACAGTCTCGTCCTGGGTCTATTGCATGTGCTTATTTGTCAGATGCGATACACCCGGTTTGCCTACCCAAAGATGAGCCCCTCAAAAGCAGCAATTTCGTGGGCACTCATCCATTCGTTGCGGGTTGGGGTGCAACGCGCTACCGTAAGTATGATTAATATTTAAATGCATGTACCTATATTTCATACATTATTTCTACATTGTCTGCAGGTGGCCAGGGAAGTCCCATATTAAGAGAGGTAGAAGTGGAGGTGCTCAAGAATGATATTTGCAAGAAAGCTTACAGAAATTTTCGCAATTCAGTTATTGATAATCGCGTGATATGCGCCGGATATGAAATTGGAAAAAAAGATTCTTGCCAAGTACGATGCAAACTTTGATTTGCAATTTATTGCAAAATTCGAGTTAATAACTGTTGATTTCATTTCAGGGTGACAGCGGAGGCCCACTGATGATACCCATGAATACGACGTACTATGAAATAGGAGTAGTATCTTATGGCCATAATTGTGCTCGGAGAGGATTCCCCGGTATCTATTCCAGGGTCACAGCTTTCCTACCTTTCATCACTACGTCGCTAACTTAAAGATAACAAAATTGAAAGTTACTGTTTAAGATAAATAAGACACTGAATAAAAAAGTGTATCTTAGAGCATGTTAATTAGGTATTAATTATTTCTCCCCAAAAGTTCCTAATCATTGACCCTAAAATCGCGGCAATTAAAATGACTTATAGCTAATAATTCTGCAAACTGTATTTATATTATCTGCCCCGTCCCAGGCTTGTTATTTGCTACAAAATTCCTCTCGCTTACACGTTGTAATGTTGGCATGTCTAATGTTTAGATTTTTCTTCAACAGTGCGATTTTCTTTTACTTTTTTTTATTTAATCTATCTGACGTCAACAAGGACGTGATTTTGAGCAGTTTATTCAATAATGTTATGTAATTAATGTCACTATAATGTCAATAAAATTAATAAATGTATCATCTATATATTAACGTTGTTAATTTTTTTAAATTATTGTATAGTTAATTAAATCTGTAAAATAATTAATTAAATCTAGAGACGGAACAGTGCACGCCTACGAGAATGTCAAAATTCGATTTTCTCTAAAGCAAAACTAAACGATAACATGTTATTTTTTTTATTCGAATTCTATTTTTACATGTAGTATTACCCCCAACTCGGTTGGACCATCCGGTCTCATCCAGCATATAATAATAATGAAAATATCGCAAAAAGGAAATAGGAACAAGCACTCAGAATTCGTGCAAGGGTAGAAGAATTGTGATCTATTTACGTCATCTTAAATCGTTGCCATAAAATTGAACTTCAAACAGACCGTGAACGATTCTCCTTAAAAGTAGCGCCGAGAGAACATCGACCATCTCATTCACGAGAAATATTATTTAATTTACATTCGATCAAGCAGGCGAGCGCGACGGGCGTTAGGTTCCGTATCGAATCAGTGAGAATTTGGGAATACATTCACGTCCTGGAAGAATAATTCCGAGAATGGGCACGAGGGACGGAGAGTCGATTCGCATTCCGAAGCGTATTCTTCGCGGTGTATACGATCCTGCCGTCTTGTTGACGGCATGCGAGTCAGTCCACTGGAAAAGCTGCAGATTGGTGACGGTTTATTTAAAGAAACCAGAACTCATACTACTACATGACTAAACATTCGAGATATTTTCTGATTTAACATGTTTTAGAAAAAAATAAGAGAAATTTTTTAAACCTCGTCTTTAACGAAGTTCGAACTCACACTCCTAGATGAGCAAACATTTTAGATATACATATTTTAAAACAGAGTAAGAGAAATTGTAGGAAATAATGCAGTTCGCGCTATCCGGTTGGAACTGTTAACCAATCGGATAACCAAGATCATTAAAAGTGTGGGAGTAGCGTCCGCTCTTCTAACTTTTAATTTAATTGATTTAATTTTGTATGCGATGTTTATCTAGACTCTCGTGTATTTCCTTGACATTGCAAATATATATTGTAACGTTTTCACTGTTCATAGATCTCAATCGCAAAGGCTTATACTATAATTCCACCGTTACTCTAACAGAAACGATGTAAACCACGTTAAACGAAATACGAATACTTCCAGGTGAGTAAATCAACTCTAAATACTTTTTTATCCAATGTGTTTTAGAACTAACTAATAGGCGATTTTGTTAAGATCAAATATTATGATCCAACAAGTTCTACTTCTTCATTGAATTTTTAGAATTAATAGTACTAATAAATAAATAAAGTTTGGAAGTCATAAGCAGATGTATAAATCTTTCAATTCATTTAATGTTATAACAGCTTATAAAATAATGTTCAGAAGATAGAAAGAAGAAGAGAGCAGAGTATGAAAGTAGAAAAAGTTCTCAAACATAAGGGGCAGTAATTGGTCGAAAGAACAGAATTCTATTGGTATCAAGCTTGAATTTCGAATGCCGAACAAAAGTTAATGTAACAACTTAGTAAGGAACATGGTGCAAGCTTGCATTAAACGGTTCCCATTTTGAAGATAGGATCGCATGTAATCCTGAACCTCCGCTGTATCAGCCGATTCCGGAACGATCGGGCAGAGGTGAAGCGAAAAATGAAACTTCGAGAACCATTTAGGTCCTACAAGACACGAATCACTGTCGAACATAGTAACCCCTTCCCTTATCATATGTATAATTTTCCGTCGCTCCTCAGACAAGTATCAATCTTGAAAATTGTTTTAAAAAGAGAGTTGGCTGCACTTATCGTAATTAATTTTTTTCAATCTTGGTCACTGACTCGTCTACACTTAACCAAAATACGTCAAACCGAACAAACTTACCTCACACTAACAGCAGCAGATGGAACAGAATACGTCGCAGTTTTGCGCATTTTCGTCGAACACCTTTATCCATCTTGAGACGGAAGTTGTGTCACTTTTTCAGTAGTTTAAACACCTGCCGCGACTTTTGTTCTTCGTCATTCGAACAAAAACCAAATTGAGGAATACACGTGGCTCGGGCGAATGACATCACGCCTGTTCGCCTCAGTGCAACATTTTGTTTGTGTTTTCGCTTCCGTAAACAAACCATTAGAGATGCCCGTCCGAATCTGATACGAAAATTAAACACAGACCGGCGCGCTTGCGCTCGTTCGTTCACTCCAACAGCTACAACACCCGACGCGGACGCGTCAATTACTAACTTGCAACTGACGAGGGATGCTGCACGAAGAGTTTGCGCCAAGCTCGCGCCCGCGCACAGTATCCTTACTCTCCTACACTCCTGCCACCCACGATCAGTCAATCACTCTTCTTTACTCTTTGCACCCTCTATCACCCCCGTCTCTCTCTCTCCGTTTGAACAAGAGGTCCTCTTTCTTTTGTTGCTTCCTTCTTCTTCTGTCTGCAAGCAACGTATCTCGAATTTTATCCTTGTCCTATCCGCTTCTTCATCCCTCTTTGTATCAACACATCTCCAGACCAACCGATCGTTCTTGTTTTCTTCTGGATTGCGATTCCTGGGCTTAACGTTTCTTTCTCTATTACAGTCACTTTCAAACGTCGCGCGGACGTTGGTACATTTGCCCTTTTCGATTCGTTTTTACCTCTTTTTTTCACTGCTTAGTTAATTCGTCCTACTCGACGGTTGGTGTTCCGTCCGTTCTGGTCGAGATCCTTTCGGCGGATGTATCTTAAACGCTAAAGAGTTTTTACGAAATTGAATTAAATCTCAAGCCTAACACCACAGTTCCTCTATCTACCCTACCTTGTATTCTCTACCCATGCTTGTCATGTATTTCTCTTCTTGCCGCATGGCTCTCAGATATTTGTTCCTTCAGTTATATGAAGCCTGTCTGTCAGGTTGTTCCGATCATTTCTGGGACTCGATTTGTCATCTGATTATGAGTTGACGATTCGTCCTTGTTTCGTCTTCGTATTACATTCTACACTCCCATTTTGATACTAGCCACCCATAGTCATGTTTGCAATCAACTGTCTCATTGATAAGTGGCAATTTATAAGCTATTTGTTCTTTTGCGGAAGTACAAGTGAATCGAGCACAGGTCATCATTTCGAGTTCTGTCACAGGGAAAAGTAGCTCCATAAGAATTCAATCTGAATCGTTTCATCCCTACTTGGACATCGAGTTCTCTCGTACAAGCGAGATTATTGTATGCAATGAATGGTCGAGTATAATTTCTGCCATACGGTGCAATCCCTTTGAAAAATTGAATTCACTTTTATCTCTTTGTCAATGCTAACGAAGGAAGTTTTCAGACAACGCTTCGTACAAAGGAATAATTTGACATCCTCGTATTTGATGGGTCACTATTTTCCAATTTGATCTTGACGCATCAAACGCGACAATTTGGAAATTCTTGTTAAAAACGAAATAAACGAATTATCCGGCTATTTGGCTCAATTATTTCCGAAAAAATCCGTAAAATGTTTGATCGAATATTTGATCATTTTGATAATCGCCGCGAATCATTGTCACGCGTATAAACGTCCGAAATAGCGGTATGGGGGTTTGTGTTAGACACATTTAGCAGCACCACAGGTTTATATTTCATTTACCGGTCTATTATGCCGCGCTGCATTGCGAGCATGACTCCCGGAAAATTGTTAAGAGCCTAGAAAGAAAGAGAATGCGCAGTGTACAGCAAACATGCAAAACGTACGCGTCAATGTCGGACAGCCCTTTAAATCGAATTGAACGATAAAATTGCTCTTTACGTCCATGCCCGTGTCAACTGATATTGTTAATTACTTGTTTGTCACAATGTTGGTCAGTAAACAGACGAGTCGACAAATAGCGCGTGGCATCCACCGTAATTCTAAATTAAACATACATACGCGCACAGGATCAGCAAGGGAAAAAAAATTAAGCCCCGAGCTTTGTCGTAATCACGCTTGGTGATGGACGGAAAGCTGGCGAATGAAATCGCCAATTGTGCTTGTCACGACTTTATGCAACGTTGTTTTTTGTTAAAAAACAAGTTAAAATCGTAATGGATTACCTCTAAAAGGTATTCAGGAATTGTTTCAACATAGTGGGATAAACGGAATTGGAAACATGTTTTCCGTAGCTTAGTAAATAAAAAGAGTGTGTAAATAATGTCTTATATATCACTCACCAAAATGTCGCTCAATATGTAGCGTCAAACATTTTACTATTAATTTGTAATCCCTTATTTCCTTAGCTCTTCAACTAAAAATGCATTGAGAAGATTGCATAACCAACAAGCGTCTCGATAGACAGAAACTTAGATGCTTTATTGACGACTTAAGAGAACATCAAAGTCAAGTGCGAGGGTAATAGATTCAGCAGTGTATATAATTATTACAAATGTGACTTTCTTGTAACCGCACGCAATCCAACGATGAATTTTTCGTTTCAGTTTAAGGATGGTCCCTCGGAGAGAAGATAAGCTGAATTTTTGACAGTGCCCTTATTCAACCAAATTTCTAGTCGGTCGCACTGTCATTCCACTGATAAACTACCTCCATCTCTGATGATTCACCGATCGATGAACGATTCGGTGCTTTGGTATTTGTTACGCGGTGAGAATTCGATAAAAATTCCGGGAGTGGTCGTTCATTCAATTCTCCTGTTCCTCGCTATACCACGACAAGACGACGCAACGCGCCGTTCTCTGTGCGTTTTCCTCCAACACTATACCCTCCAATTTCTGCGTCTAGCTATTTATTTTCCTCTTTCATGTCGATTTTTTTCGTGTTAGCAAATGGCTTCAGTGTACTTTCGTGAGCAACTTTTGGATAAGTGGTGGAAATAATATTAATAATATCTGACCTTTCTTACATTTATAAATATATATTTATATATAGTAAGATACATACTAAATAGAAATACATACATAAGACAAA